ATAGCTTTCCAGCGATTTTGGATGATCGTTCATCCTGACGCATGACGACATTATGAATTCAGGCTCGGTTCCGGGCTTCACCATTTTCGCTGGCATTGCGCTTTTTTGTTTTTCCGTATTCTAGCCGTATTGACCTCAATACTTTCAGGAGACGAGAACCATTAATAGAAGAAGAAGAAGAAGAAGACATATTGACTGCGACGCATAGTCTGCTGCATCTCATCGTTATGACAGATATCCTAATCTCAATAATCATCAATTAATGCTTATTATCTCGATTCACACAGCCGATCCAACGTTTTTTCTTACAGATTCTTTTCATGTAAAAACACATTTAGGTATCATCTATGTGTTCGCCGTCAAAGAATGTTTTGGTGTCATCTAGATGTTCGCAGTCGAGGAAATCGGTAACTACATGTTCACCGTCGAACAATGTATCATCTAGGTTCGCTGACAAGGAATTAATGTTTTCCTTTAAGGAAGCGAAGATCGATGTGTCATTCGAGTATTGGGAGGATCCGAGTGTTAGGATGTTGCTTAATGAAGTAACTCGCTATTCCTCCATGGAAGGGAGTGTCCAAGTGTCTTGGAGAGATCTCTAGTTGACATTAGACATGTCCTAAGGATCGCTGTCGAGGAATTCGGTAGCCAGATGTTATTCCACTAGGAAAGTTGTTTAGGTGTCGAATCATTATCCATGATCGTGACATGAGTGATCTTGCGCAGTGATCTCCGTTGAGGAAGTTTGCGTCCGAGTGATTGCTGTCAACGATACGAAGCATCCAGATATGTATTCTCCAGGAAGTTTATCGGCAGACAGAAGCGGATCTGGCAGATAGGATGCGTATTCGTATCGATGAACATAAACAGATAGGATGCGTATCCATATCGACAAAAACGGATAGGAATCGCAGTACGTATCTATTTTTGCAGACGGAAACTGATGAACATTCTATTCATATCTATCTGTAAATGCAGTTCAAGAAACGCAATAAAGCAGACAGAAATGAAATGCGTTTTCTGTCCGTTTCTGTCTGCAATTTAACCAGGATGTAAATCGTATAAGTGTGTTTTTCAATATGACTAATCATCTTTAAGATCTCCTTAAAAAACAATGTTGTCTACGTAAACAATACTGTGAACTACTAAAATTGTAAATGTATAGTAGCACAATTGATTGTATTCGGATGAATACTGTCAACAAATTAAAAATAGACAAATAAAAACAACAATGTAAAAGAACGAGATTAAATAGATCATTATTTTCATTATGACGATATTAGATTATATTTCACAAATCTAATGTTTATAGTTTTAATTTAGAAAACTAAATTATATCTTGTATCTTTTATATTGATCCTATTTTAATCGTTGCAAAATAATTTAAATGAAAAGAATTTTGCACCTTAAGATATGAAAAATGTTTTCACGATAAATTAATTATCTTTTTACAATAGTGTCATGTGGATGTTACTATAGAATGACATATTATAAAAAATAGAAACAATTTTGCATTATTAAAAGATACAAGATATGAAAAAATAAATTTTTTGACAAAAAGTTAGCTAAGAGGAAAAAATTTTTATATCCAATACATATACGAGGACACATATTTAAAATTAATAAAAAAATATATATCACTCATTAAAAATATCTAGAATTTCTAACTAAAAGAATTATAAAATATTTTTTCAGAGTAAGAGAGAGAGAGAGAGAGAGAGAGAGAGAGAGAGAGAGAGAGAGAGAGAGAGTGTGTGTGTGTGTGTGTGTGTGTGTGTGTGTGTGTGTGTGTGTGTTTCATGTTTCATAATAAAAACAAGATATTAAATAAATAACAAATGTATAATAAATAAGATTTAATTTATTTTTCAGAATTCTATGAAATAGAGCATTCGAAAATATTGTAATTGTAATTAACTAAAAACAGTTATATATCTTTAGTGTGATGTAATGTCATGTACATATTTTTTAATGTAAAGTTTTGTATTATATCATAAGTGCTAATTGATTATATTGCCTATTATATATTAATTTATTTATTATGATGTCTCATTTAGAACTATTTAAATTGTTAATGTTGTTAGTTAATTATTATGATTATAAAATAGATTAAGCAATGCGCATATAATGTGTTCATTAAAATGCATAAAACCATAACGAAATTAATATAAATAATAAAATATCGCATATTATTTTATTTGACAAATTAAGTATAGTTAAAAAAAAAGAGGTAAAGCAAAATATGAAATTTTTTAATTCTTCAGTTATTTGGTTCGGTAAACGCTTCGGATTTTCTGCAACATTTTAAATTTGCTAATTGCCTTATTCTATTTTACGTTACGTATAATAAAAACATTAATCTCTTCGCGTTTGCATTTATTCTCATTCTGTTTCAATATTTTTGTTATATCTGTTTAAATAAACTAAACTAATTTGTCATTTAAATTTGTTCATATTGTGCAATTTTATAATTTGAGGAGAGTTGCTGAACCGTTCACCTTAATCATATCTCATCAATATTTTATTTTATTTAATATATTTTATTTAATATGAGCAATATTCAGCAACAAAAATGAAATAAAAAAAAAAAAGTAATATAACAAAAATTTAACAGTTTATTTAAGATTACATCTCTTGTTTTGTGTATACTAACATTTTGAAAAATTAACATCAGGTACAACTGATGTTAAGTTTTAATCAATTTATATAGTTGATATACAACTATAATATTGATATAATAATACAGTCATACATAATCTGAATTTGCATAAAAGAAATTTATTGTAAAACATTTTACATTCTATATATGCATTAGAAGAAAGAAAGATTAAATTAGTGTTTTTATAAAACCTATCAAGTTTCCTAAATTATATCGTCACAAGATAAGACTGATAATTGGCAATAATAAAACTAATAATGAGAATTGAATTATTAGGCTAAATTAATAAAACAATAATAAAAAGTAAAAAGAGCTAAAACCAACGTTAATTTTTGATAACTAATATTTAGTGCCTTTCAAATTTTTAACAAACGTTTCGTCTTTAAATTAGGACCTTTTCAATGTTAATACATAAAAACAAATCCTACCTTACATAATAAGTCAATATTTGACTTAGTATGTAAAGTAGGATTTATTTTTATGTTTTTACAAAACGTTCGTTAAAAATTTGAAAAACATTAAATATTAGCTATTAAGAGCATTGGCTCTTAAAAATAATAATAATTGATATGATTGCTGATGTCAATTGCAAAAATAAGTTTGAATCAGGTTTATTTCGATATGTTCACCTTTTTATTATTGTTATAAACACTTGATCCTTTTTTCAATAAATTATTAAAATTAATTAATTAGGTATTTTTATTAGGTATTAGTTAATTATTGTTTTTATTAATCTTATCATATCATATTTTTAATTATTTTCATTTATGGTTTTGATAGTATTTTCAAAGGAGATACGATTAAGAAGACCTACATTAGATGCGATTTAGAATATTCGCTATTTAAATTGTACTTTTTGTAACTTGTTACAAAAAGACTTAGAATAAATTAATTTATTATTGATAAAAATTTAAGCATATAATAGTTGATGCCTGAAATATTAATATATACAGTTATCACATTGATATACACAGTAAGTACCTGATATATCGATATACAATTTCCAATGTTCATTTGCGTATAAATCAATATTAAATGAAAAATATAATAAAATATTACATAACTTATGTATATTTTATGACAGTTCTCCCGTACTATATATACTAGAATTACAAAGGACCTCGCGCTAATGGGGAAATGTTTTTCTGTGGATTTGGCTAATCTTATATATGTTGTTCTCTTTATGAACAAATATCTCAATGGCACAATTTGATTCTATGAGCCGTTTCTGCGATAAAGCCTAACAGTATAGGCTTTTTTATTCGGAATATGTGACTCGATATACTTATGTCAATGAAGTAAGAGCTATTTGTTCCCATAATATTTGTTTCCATATTTAATGACTCCTTAACTCTCTGGTGTGTATGTGCGTGAGTGCGTGCATGTGTGTATGCGTGCTTATCAGTAGAAGTGATAGTTTTAATACCGTTTATCTGAATATGATGAAGATCGCGTTATCTTCTTGTAACAACTAATTAAAAATTTAAGTATTAACGTGATTTTAGAGTTCACACACACACACACACACACACACACGCGCGCGCGCATATCAGAGAGAGAGAGACAGAGACAAAGAGAGAGAGGGGAGAAGGAGAGAGGGAAGGGGAAGGGAAAGAGGGAGAGGGAGAGAGAGGGGGGAGGGAGGAGAGAGAGAGAGAGAGAGAGAGAGAGAGAGAGAGAATTTGGAGTCATTAAATATTATACTGGAAGTTCTACTACGAATAGTTCTTACTTCTACTGACACACTCGCACGCAAGCACATTCGACTGAGAGAAATTTTCCGAATCGAAAAATCTTTACTTTTATGTGTTAAATCTGAATCTTTCAAGGCTTGTAGCGCGGAAACGACTCATAGAATCAAATTATGCTTATTGAGACATTGTTCAGAATGAAGAGAATTATACATATCCAAAAATTAGCCAAACAAGCAAAATCTGGTCAGTCTACATAACTACACTTACGGGATATTTATGTAATCCAAATTTTTGATAAGAATTTTAATTGTAACGAAATTTAAAAAGTTAGTGTTCTTTTGATCTGGTGTAATAATAAAACATTCTAAAGCTGAAAAATAATCATTTACAAATATAACAGAAAATAAAATTTGTAAAGATCTAAGTAACAAAAATACGGATTTTTTTTCTTAATTTTCGACAAAGTTTAGAATATTTTTTGTTAGTAACAGTAATATTGAATCATAATTCAGTTATATTTCAATTTTCTTTTAATCAACTTTACTAATAATAAAGATTTATTTAATTTGTTATAACAAAAATTGTAAAAAAAGTCATCAGAAAAAATACGGGATGCAAACATATTTTAACAAATGATGTTTACTTACAAGCGCTTGTTGGTGCGTATCTTCCTAGTGTGAGATGGAAATTGGCACTGACAGTATATGGAATACCGTGGCAATACCGTGCCATGCGAGAAATAGTTGCGTAATTGTGTATACAATGAGATACGTTTGTATCTCGCTAGTGTGTATTGTATTTAAGGGTAAATTGTGTGTTAATATTAATACTGATATCAATATCGATATCAATATCTGATAATATTCATTTATTGTTTATATATGCGAATTTAAAAAATAATGTTAATGTGATGTCTGTTGCTATTAATCATTATGCCATAAAGTTTATAAAGCACAAGTGTCTGTAAATTCATGATGTATCATGATTTTTGCGTTATACGCAGAAATGTTAGGACTTGTGAAAGTAAATAAAATATTATTTAAAAAAGTCTAAGTACTATGAGTTTTCGATACATGTGTTCTGAAGCTATTTAATATAAATTTTATGTAAAAATACACGCAAGTTATTACGATACATGTAATACTAACTGAAATTGTAGTTAGTAGATTATAGTACATACGAACAAGTTGCTTAACTGAACGTTATGCTTTCAGAAGCACACTCGAGTGTAAGCTGATTTTCAAAATATGAATCTGTAAGCTTTATTGATTTATACCTTAATATAGATAATATGTTTCGATTGTTCATCTATTGATTGCACTTGATATTTCCTTTCGCTTACAAGTTTTAATTTGTTTTATTTATCAAAAAAAAAAAAATAAGATTAACTTCAATATTATAAGATTTATATGAACATGTTATACAGAAAGGAAGTAAATTGAACATTAATTAATTCCATATAAAATAATTACAAAATGTTAGTGATATATTAATGGATATATTACTTATTGATGCTATAGGCTTGACGATTCTTTTTTTTCTACAAATAGAAATTTTATAGTTTTAAAAAACGAAAGATAAAACTTGAACATGTATATTGAATCATTATTTAGAGAGAACGGAAATTGTACAACAATTTAAAAAAAATTATTTTTTCAAGAATAAAATAACAAACATTCATGTACATGCACTCATACTCAACTCTGGGAAAATAAATTTTTTAGATCGAAGAAGGTTGCACAAGGTTGAGTATGAGTAAAAAAAGCAATTTCAAACTTTGACATAACAACTAATAATTGAGCAATTTTTTATAGAAATTTTTTTTACTTTAGATTAGCTACACTAATTACTAATTAATAAATCTCATCATTTTTTTTATAAGAGAATTTATCTAGAACTAATTAATTTTGATTAAAAAAAAAATTTTTTTATTTCCTGTCTTTGCTATTATTCGCATTATTCCCATCTCTCTTGTTCTACAATATGCTTTTTGTCTCTTGTTTCTTGCCTTTTGTTATTTTTTACATCTTGTCTTTTTTTTGCTTCTTTTTTTTGTTGTTTGGTTTTTTGTTTTATATCGCTGGAGATGAAAGTTAATGAACTTTGAAAGAAACAAGAAATACGCAAATAAATAGTAAAAAATACAATTGTTGATAAACTGGTTGCAAAAGAGAAAAAAGCAAAAGATAAAAACAAGAAACAGGAAACAAAGAGCACATTGTAGAATAGGTTTTAGTAATAGCAGTTTTTGTTATTAATATTACTGTCACAAATATCATTTCTTGATCTGTGAAAATTCGAGAAGCAACTATTCAAATTGCATCATCTGTTTTACTTGAGATTATTAAATTTTGTAATAAAAAGATAAATCCACAGAATTCAGAAACATAGAGTTACAAAACATTATGTTAAATTGCTGAAATAAGTAGACTTGTAGACTATCAAAGAAACAAAATTTAATTTTAGGATGTCGACCGAATTTTTGGTTACCTTCCCGGTTTAACCAGAATATGTGAAACTCTACAACTTTGTCACATTATATCTTTGGATTGAATACGTATTTTTTAGTTTATAACATGTAAAATTTATTATCTCAAAGTCAAACAAAGACAGATAAATATAAATTAAATATTTTAAATATTTTATCTTTAATTAATTACAATGCCTCAAAGAAATTTTGTTGGAAAAATTTGCAAAAAATAACTACTTCGGATAAAAAAATTCTCAAATTTTTAAATTTAATGTTCAAGCAAAAACCCATAAGATTTTTTTAGTTGAACTAACAAAAAAAAATAGTACGATATGAATCGTTCAAAAAAGTATGATTATTTGAACAATCGAAAATCAATATTTTTGAAGAATCTACTTTAAGTTTACAATTAATAAATAAAATTTTATTATTTGAACAATATAAAAGAATAATAATATATAAGATAAAGGATTGTACATGTATAAATATTATTATAAATATGTATAATTAAATTTATTAGGATTTAGTTTAGAGGATGATGTAACACTCGCTCTGAAGCAATAATCCGCTCCGATCGAGCAATCTTCGAAGACTAACAGAAATTATAAAATTTCTACTATTTATTACATTGAAATATAAAATCATTGGAGGGAAGACGCCACAATCCTTCATTCTTGAATAACTTCTTAATGTTATTGAATTAATGAACGAAAAAATATTATTTATATTCTAACAATCTTTTTTTATTCATACAAATCAATTAAACTTTTGATGTTCCGTATTATTAAAAAAAGTTGATGTCAAAAGTGGCATACATATACGAATAAGATGTCTTCTTATGGGGAAAAAGATATCAAACAATTAAATAATGTGATTCAATATAAACTTGCATATTTTACTTATTTATAGTCTATAATCAAGGATTTAAGCCAGAGATCTGGATCAAACTAAAATCAGAACCGTTTCGGAATCCTTTTTTTAGCGAACTGAAACCGAAACCGGTTACCCAAATTTTGTATAGTTTATAATACCAAAACCGTAATCGAATTGGTAAAATTTTATAGCTTTTCTCGATTCTTTTTCAATTCTTAATTTTTAATCTTTATCCTTGTCTTAATTTTTGTTCTGCCCGTTCCTTCGTTCAAATCACCAATGTTCAATCCAGTATCACCATTGCCAGCTCTCTTAATAATCAGAATGTAAATACTTTCAACACCTTATATGACATAAGAAATCTGGCGGAATCGCGAGACATATTTAATGTAAACTTTTGTTAAGATACTAGCATTTCTTTTATTCTTTCTCACTAACATGTTTTGCAGGAATTTATTCTAAGTTATAAAATTCAAGAATACATATGTAGACTTTATGTAATAAGTAGGTATGTAATAAGTAGCTGGATAAAATGTCTTTCGAACATTTAAACTACTAATTATAAAATATTTTTAAAAAGGGTATTTAAAATGCAAAATGATTTTTCCTGCCCTAGAAAAAAAATTTTTGCGAAAAGTACAGAAAAAAATTATATAGCTTGAGACAAAATCTTAAAAATCCATAATTTTTCGTTGTTATTTATAATAGAGACATAGAATGATCGTTGTTTGAGAGCGAAGATTTTTCAAACAAACACTACTCTACATCCCACTACGAATATTTATGAAAAATTAAGCATTTCTAAAATCTTATTTCAATCTATATAGTTTTTTGTAAAAATACAGTATTATAAATAAAATATTTCTGTGCATGCGTGCGTGTGCGTGTGCGTGTGCGTGTGCGTGTGCGTGTGCGTGTGCGTGTGCGCGTGCGCGTGTGCGCGTGTGTGTGTGTGCGCGTGTGCGTGTGTGTGTGTGTGTGTGTGTGTGTGTGTGTGTGTGTGTGTGTGTGTGTGTGTGTGTACGTGTGTGCGTGCGTGTGTGCGTGTGTGTGGTGTGTAACAAGAATATTTAAAATTTTTTAATATGATTTGGAAACGAGATTGTTTACTTGAATAAATCAAATTAATACAATAAGCGCTGGTTAGAATCAAAATTAAATGTTAAGAATAACATTTTTTAAAATCTATATAGTATTTTACATAAGCTGGAACATTAATTTTTTTATTAAGATTCGATATTTATTTTTATTAAAATTGGATTACTATCTGGAATTAATTTTCTCTTTACAATTTAATTTGCAGTTTATTTGAATATTTATAAAAATCTTTGGCCAATCATGAGGCTTGGTTCTTTTTACATCAATGATTCTAGAGAAAATTTGTGAAAACATAGAAAAACTTATTTTATAAATTTTATTAAATTATCTGTTTTATAAATAGTTTTATTAAATCGTAGACACGATTCTATTTCAAATGTAAAATGAAAATGATTTTTCAAAAATTATTTAAAATAGAAAATGCAAAATGCCATTTCTATTTTAAACACATATTAAAAATAGAATTATTTTAAATATTATTCAGCCCTGGTAATAAGTAAGATTTATCCATAAGAATCAAATAAGTTATAAGAAAGGAGAGAAATATGCCTAAAATAATGTTTACATAATTTTTATTAGAGTCACGTAATCAATTGATGCCTTTTTTCAACTAGGCTTTCTAGATTGAACGGGTGAACACGTTCTCTCTCTCTCTCTCTCTCTCTCACTCTCTCTCTTTCCCCCTTCCCCTTATCTCTCCTTCTTCTTAATAGAACAAATTTAAAGAATAAATAAAATAAAACAAGTAGAATTGAAAAAACTTTAAAAAATCCTTAAATAATTGTAATTTTTACAGTTTCAGTTTTCTTTACTGATAAAAAAAACGAATTGAAATTGAAACCGGAATATTTAGTTGATATTTTATTAAATCGGGACCGGTACCGAATCGAAAAAATCTTTCGATCCAGATTCCTAGTTTAAGCTACAAGAACACATAAAAGTATGATAAAACATAAATTAACAAAATATGAAAGAAAATAATTTAGGAAATAAATTGGACATTTATTCGTTTGGACTTTTATTCGTTTAAACAGCATTTCATTAACTTAAAATATTTCGAATTATATAAAGCATCAAAAATTTTAATTCATAAAATCATTTTAATGACAGTTTCAAGTAAGAAAAATTGTATTTTGTATTTACTGTCATCTTATTCCCAAGTGTAAGAGGAATATTCAATTGCAATTTTTATAAGAATATCATAAATTATAATCTATATCATCCACATGATCTCCAGGGAACGCTAAT